TTCTACTCTTGGAGATTAGGATGTAAGAATGTAAATGAGAATGTGCGTTGATATTAGTTTAGATATTTCATAGGAAATTACATATATGATATAAGATTTATGAAAGAATCTATTTGTTATCGCATTAATTATTACAATAAATAACTTTACTATATTTTTGATTGACGACTAATAATAACTATTTCATAAGTTTTATTATTTGTAAAAGATATAATTTTCTAGAAAAATTTTCAGAGAGTTATATCACTTGAGTCAATGAACAAGATTTGAAAAGATTATAGCACTGAATTTATGCTATGTCAACTGTTTTGTTTCAGTTGTCTTAATAGGAACATAATTATAAATAAGTATTATAAAAGAAGAGAGATAAGGAAATCCACACGAATCTATTTAAAGGTAGATATATTGTTAATCGGTAGAGAAGTGTTGAATTATAAAGAAACTCTCATTCAATCTTCTTATTTCATATAGCATCGGCAACGTCATCAAAAACCACAACAGCCGCAGAAAACACGACGACAACAGCAACAACAACTACAACTACAACTACAACTACAACTACAACTACAGCTACGACAAGCACAACCACAACAAGCGCAACCACAACCACAACAACAGCAAGCACAACAACGACAACGACAACGACAACAACAACTACAACTACAACTACAACAGCGACAACGACAACGACAACTACAACAACTACAACTACAACAAGCACAACAACAACAACAACAACAGGTGAGTTATTTAAAACTTAACAGACTATTAGAAAAAGTGTATGCGGTTAGTATAATGTACAGACTAGAGTAATGTAATTTACTAAACTTATTTGCAATTTGTGATCATTAGATCGTTTATAACGTTTCGAGTTAAGTTGATCATAAAAATATCAGCAGAACATCTCAATTGTTATATTTCAAAAATGTGTTTATTTCTACAACGAATTCATAACAGAGATGTTGAATAAATTGTTTTTATACGAGTTGGCATTGACCTGGAGTGCACATGAATCAAGCTTAGTGAAACATAGTAGGATTGGACAGTCTGTTTTATAGATCAAACTCAGCTTCTTTACCTGAATAGATTTTGATCTTATGCATCATATGGATTACCACATAATATTTTCTAACAAAAAATAAACGCAATATACATTACTATATCGTATCTAAGAACTACTTCTACTCACTATCAAACATCACATATCTAACTAGTCTATAAGTGTTGGGTAATAAAATAGTTCTTCTTTTTCTATCTTTTTATAGTATGTCCACAATCTTCTCAATCGGCCTGGTCACAAACTGCTACTACTATATTTGGCAGCCAAGCAGGTACATCTGGCTCTACTCTTTCACTTCTTAATAGTCCAATTGGAATGTATTATGATCAAACTAACAATATGTTAATCGTTGCGGATTATGGAAATCAACGTATTTTACAATTTTCTATCAGTAATCCGCCTTCAGTTGCAACGGTAATTGCTGGAAGTAATGGCGGGGGTTGCAGTCTGAATCAATTTACGGCTACTATTGGCGTAGCTCTTGATAGTTCTGGTCGATTGTTTGTATCAGATTCATCATGCAACCGGGTCGTTGTATTTCCATCAGGTTCAAATTCAGCGACATCTGGAACATCTCTCGGTACAGTAGCTGTAGCAGAACAAATATCCATAAATGCATTGACTAGTGATATTTATGTAGCTGGCTATAGTGATAATACAATATACAAGTTTGTCGGGGGTAGCGGATCACCAGTGGTTGCAGCAGGTATATATAACTACTTTGAAGAAATCTTTCGTTTAACATTGATTTTATTCTCATATATAGGTGGCAATGGAGCTGGAAATGCCTTAAATCAGCTTTCAACACCAAATGGTCTTTACTATGATTATTTATATACAAATGCTTTGTACGTTGCTGATTCTGGTAATAATCGTGTTATGAAATTCCCATCAGGTTCAACGAGTGCAACTTCTGGAACAGTTGTCGCTGGAGGTAATGGATCTGGAAGTGGAGCGACTCAGTTGAATGGTCCAAGAACTATAGTGGTTGATAGTAGTGGAACTCTGTATGTATCTGATGGAGGTAAGAGCATTTTTGAGAAAAGAAAATATACTATAGATTAAATAATCTCGTTTTAATTTTTTTCGTATCCAGGTAACAATCGTGTTACACGTTGGTTGCCAAATGCGGCTAGTGGTACTACAATCGTTGGTGGTACTTCAGGAACAGCATCGAATCAACTCCATTCTCCTGAAGTAATCCTCTTTGATAAATATGGTAACCTATTGGTTATTGATAGAGGAAATAATCGAATACAACTTTTTAATTTAACAACATGCTAGTGTGTCAGGACTTACTATTGATTATTATTATTAACAGTAAAACTTTAAAAAACTCGATTAATGTGTTGATTTTTTCTTCATTTCTTTATAAGTGTTCAAGTAGTGATTCATCTTTATTTTGTAATATTTCTCTCATAGTTTATATCTTAATAAAAAAAACGTGAAAATAAAAATACTTACGATTCGTTGAGATATTCATGCGATCATTGGAGAAGTAGACTTAGATTATAAAATTTATTAAGAACAAATATAATATAAATTTTTTAAGAATTTATTAGGATTGATTTCAACCACACAAAGAAGTTTTAATCGTTCCATTTTAATAATGGTAGATGATTGCTCAATATTTTCTATTCTACTTTTTAATTTCGATATTTTTTTCTGTCTTTTTCCAGTTATTCTCTTTTTTGACCTTTGAATATGTCTATCGGTGTGTGTGCGGGTGTAGATGAAATAGAATACCCACACCCACGCTGACCCTTAAGATTTTATAT